CTCCACATCCTTGTAGACTGAGGTATCGTCGGCAGACATGTTCCCCTCCAACAAGTCATCGGGCCAGGTAAGCACTCCGCTAAAACCTTCTACAGATGCCAAGACCGCTGACGAAGATCCAAGAGGTCGATCCCGAGAAATAAATCTCACTGGCAGCTCGCTCAAACGTCCATCTCCGGACTGCCAACCAGGACGATATGCGGCAGTCTCCGTCCAATAGTCCATCCGGAAGCCCATCGGGTATAACACCACTCCACCAACAAGCACATCATATGACTCTGCTGATGTAACCACAGCACGAACTTCAAACTGCGAGCTATCATGAGGGTGATCATGCCTCAACTGCACCGCTATGCTCTCCTTGGTCATAAAGTAAGACCTATTGCTGGCACCACCAAGGGATGTCTGGATCTGGAATGGGCAAGGTTCCAACTCGGACCTCCGAATGCCCAAACTAATGCATGCAGCCTTGCCCAAAATCAAGGGCTGTGCACCAGAATCCAACAAAACTCTGGCTGGGACATACACCTATCCAGTAGAACTCACTAACCGAAATAGACCACTTCGGTTGTCCACCATACATACACCAGGGACAATACTCTCGCGATCAATGGCTGGGCGAGCTGGTAAGGACTCCATCCTCGCCGCTGCGGCCTGCCAAGTCGTCTCCTCGAACAATGTAGACGTTGAGGATGGGTCCTCAACTGTATCCTCACGTATCTCGGCACTCGTAGCAGCGACTCTCCCACGCTCACACGACGTGGCTGCCACCCGAAATACTCGAGCCAAATCAATACCAGAGTCTATCAACTCTGTGGCTGAAAACAATGGAGATCGCAAGACTGAAATGACCATCCGCATCACTGCACTAGATGGCACGTCTGCGTCCACCACAGATGATGTAAGAACCTCAGTTCTCACTCTAGTGTCACTAGGCGGTGCAGGTCTCATAGATGAACTGCTACCCATCTCTGACAACAAAAAGGACTGGGGAAGTCTAGACTGACGTCCACCCTCACCCCTCTGAGGGTCCAACTCCACAGTCGCACCACGTGGCTCTGAAGTGCGAGCACCACCTCTGGTTACTGCAACTGATGCCTCAACCTGTGCTGCACTGGCCAAATAGGAGAAATCCTCTCCCTCGTAAGATGTGGAAGTGCTCTCCCCCAGACCAGCCATAGCAGTAAGCCTCTGCTCCAACTGCTCAATCCGAGCAGCCATAGCGCTCTCTGTGGCGGAAGTAGCACTCGCTGCAGTACGCTCAATGGTTCCAGTACCTCTACCACCTCTACCGCCTCTGCCACCTCGACCACCTCGGCCTCGTGGAGCATCACCTCCACGACCTCTACCTCCAGATCTCAACTCAGGATGAAGGTCAAAGCAACGCTCTCGAGGGTGACCCGGTCGATGACAATGATCACAGGTCACCTGTGCCGGCTGTGGCCTAGCATGTGGAGTTTGTCCCTCTCGCTCCTAGGGACAATCCTTCCTCATATGGCTACCTCCGCATGTCCAACATGACGGTCCCTGTGGTTGACCCGAAAATGAAGGCAGTGGTGGCCGCGCACTAGGCTCTCTGTGACCTGAAGGATGTCGTGTATGACCTCCACGACTCCCACTTATGGGGCGAGACAGTGCTGGGCTATGTGGGATACGCGAGGTAGTGGTCGTGTCCCTCGCAAATGTAGACGTCACCACCCTCTCCTCCACCATGTTAAGCTCAATCTTCTCAGAAAGAGCAAACACATGGGCTAATGTGGGTGATGAGTCGCTCATGAGAGTAGCATCACGCACTCTCCTCCGCAATTCTCTGTCAAGGATCCGATACCAGTACTGGACAGCCTGTGCCTCAGTCACACCGTGAGTAACTGAGATGAGCCGTCGCATACGAGTGTATGCCTCACGAAGACTCTCATCAGTCTTCCGCTCAAACTCCTGGAGGCTCCTCAACTTCTCCGTTTTCACCCCCTGATAATTCTTCCTCAATCTCTGGAAGAACTCAGGAATGGGGCTAAACGAAGGTACGCCACTAGCATCTCCCCTCGTGCTGCCACCGGCAATGCTAACAGTACCGCTGCTGGTACTAGTACCAGTTGCGCCAACTGCTCCACTGGTACCCTCGCTGATGCTACTACTCGCACCTCCACTGATGCCGATACTCACACCTCCACTGATACCCCCACCACCCTGGGTAATGGATGAGTAGTTCGGAGACCAATGCCGTCTCCATGCATCAATCTCTGCAGCATACTCTCTCCCAAACTCATGATAATCGTCCATGGGAGGCCCCTCCAAATGCTGGAATAACCCCTTCCATGCAAAGAAGTGTGTAAACAACGTGGGGTTACGTAGAAACTGCATATCACACCACGTGTCGAACTCCTGAATAAAATCATCAAGCTCGATGGTGCCCACTGCACCAGAGTAACGTCGAGGGCCCTTCGCGGCCCCGTACATCCCGTCCATGTCCCAAATCAATGGGGTGGGAACACTAGACGATATCACCACCAAAGACTCTGTGTCTGCAACACTCTGGTCCTGCTCCGCAACAACTGGCAAAATAGGTGAAGGTAGCCGATACCTCAACCCACTCCGCGTAAATCCACCGCGGTCCTCAACAGGACCACTAGACTGCTCCGTGATGGCGAGACTTCAACTGGCACCACTGCCAGATCTCCACCCAATACCCCAATCCGCCTCTGATGCCGTGCTGCACTGAGCTACTCTAGCCCTACTAGCCAAGGTGTATGGGCAACCTAACCTGTCATCACAGCAAGAAGACTCTCACGGTCTACTGGTCATCACTCCAGTCTCACCGTGAGAGAAACATATATAGACCGGCCGGTGATCAAGTCCAGCCCCCTATCGCCAGCACACAGGAGTAAAACTACTCCGGAAATCAGCGTCACCCCTACACGGGCGCGCACCAGGAAGCAAGACTGGAGAGGATCCAAACACAAGCAACCAGCTAGCAACGACTCTCCAGTCTAAAGGAAACACAGCACAAAACAAGACAACACACACGGGACATCGCATCGCTTCGCGATCCCGATTCGATCTCCATCGTCCTCCATTTACGTGGGCCTCCAGTGCCTATGATGCCCTCTTCCACCAAATTGCAAACAAAAATTGTTTGAAAACTTTTTTTTCTTTTTTTTTTTCTTTTTTTTTTCTCCTTCACACAGGGGTCACACTGCCCCTCAACAAACACACTACACACTGAAAGCTCAATATATTGACTACGTCATATATATATTTACAATGCTTTCAAAACATCACGTCACAGGTAGAAAAACCGGGTGCAAACTCCCGATCCCTTCAGGAACTCCTATCTAAACGCTACAAGTATTTGCTATCAATCCTTTGGGAGACTATCAAGAAATTTCTCTAGTACAAGAATTTCTTCTGAAAGACAATCTTGAACATACTGAACATCTCTCAAATGGTCAGCAATATCCTGTGGAAGGTCTAGTAACTCATCCTCACATACCCTATACTCTAGGCCGGATTCCTCTAGAAGTTTCTCTACGGCTAGTGCCTCGTCCCAATCTAACGCGGAATCTTTTTCTTCTGCCACAACAGTGTTTACCGGATTCTCTTCTACTTGAGGCTACACCGTCACCTCTTGCTCCTGATAACGTTCCTCGCTACTGACGACTTCCACTGTCTGGATTTCTTGTATATCACTGTCATCCGCTTTTTCTCCAAGCGGCATTTTCCCTTTATAGTTAACACTTCACTGTGTACAAGGATATTTGTTTTTACAGAGGATCTGTAAACTAAATCTGAAGGGAAAACTGAAAACTGTTTAACTATAAAACTATTAAAAGGTTTTAATAGCTTTAAAGAACTTGGCATAAACAAATTCACTTGAACTAGTGAATTTGAAATTTTCTACAGCAAACTTAGCACTGCTGTATTTTATCACAAATCTGATTGTAATCAAAAGACCTGCATAGGCCAACTTCACCTAGCAGATCTCCAAAAACTTCACCTAGCAGATCTCCAAAAACAGAGGCTACAGCTATTGGACTATTTCAGTATGGTATTATGCCAACTAAGTCACACATAATCCTCTTTTCGCATAATGAACCGAAAGACTACAGTTCCTCTGAGAATTCCCAATCCGCTTACGTGCTTCCAAGAATCCAAACTGGAGAGTCACGATGTCACGGAACGTCTACTTCTGTGGGACCGAAGTAACCTGTCAACCAAATAAAGGGAATGCAACACCCTATGGCGACGGATCCACCTCCGCGTGGTTCTGCGATCAGTTTTGGGCTCCACAGCTATAACCCTCAAAGCAAATCCACCAGACCTATGTACTGTTGGTGTCCACGAAAGTCTTCGAAGTTGACAAAATTTCAGAGACGACTCGGAAATTCAAGTGCGACCCGAACCTCGTCACAAATCTTGTTTCGATATTACCGTCCTTTGGGCGAGGTAATCCTCCCTAACGACCGAGTCAGCTCTCCCACATAAAGCTAGAAAAAATTGAGTTGTTGTCACCGAATCCTCAGGTTCATCTGAATTTCGTCTGTAAAATTTCGCCAATTTTGATAAAATCCTCAATTAACCTGTGCTTCGCCCTCGCACTGAAACAATGCCGGCACCTGTAAAACTTCTCGGAAAATCGCTTTGCTCGGTTTCAAAACTTAGATATTCGTGTTCATTTCGGAGAAGAGAAACGTTCGAAAGGGCGACTAAGCTTGGTTGTGCTCCTGGGCAGTGACACCTCTTCTTCGTAGGAAGGTGAGGGAAGTTTTCCGCCCCTTCGTCAGGAACTCGAGCTTCTCAAAGACGGCCGGGAAGTTTTTCAGACACAAATGTTCAGTGAACATCTGCGCTCGTAAAACTAGCCGAGCACATTAGGGTAGAACTCTACAACTCTGCTGCCCATAATCCGACTCCGCGCACAATTCTGCCCCAACCGATAAAGGAGCTCAAGAAAGCAGGGCAGCGGAAAAAAGGTCCAGAGCGTGAAAGTTCATCGTCAGTTTTCACAGAATGTGGCGACAAGGGGGAGGAACTGGCAGGGAAAGAGGATCGCAAAGCTGATACGGACGAGGGGCAAAACGCAGAACATAAGAAACGCCCTTTCTTCCCTCGACGTGTAGACCGAAATTGTAGCTCTCGACAGGACGGCAATGCAATCCAGTCGAATCAATCGGCCAGTAAATTAGCGATATTCCGAACTGCAGCAGCAAAATTTCACGAGGCCTGCATTCCCCCTTCCTCTCTCGAGTCGACTCCGGAGGTCTCCTGTCTGCCCAGAGGCCCTGCACAGCAACAAATTCCACAGGCCCAAGCCTTCTTATAGGAGAGCTCCACCGTGCCGTTGGTTCGGGGCGCGAATTCGAATCCCGCCCTGTCCAACCTAACGAATCGATGGATCTCTAACTAACGTTCGCTACACCAACGCCTATCCACACCTCGCTCCAACATTCCTGCTTACTCATCATCCGACCGGCAACCTCATCTCCCTCCCCTGCTGCTGTGACAGATTACTTCGTTTACTCCGCGAACCGAACGAACGTACTGAAATGAAGCTTCAAACTGAATTTTCCCTCTTCCCGTCGAAGATTATCGACCGAAATCCAACAATATTCTCAGTATTCCTGTCACTGACGGCCCCAGACCGTCACCCAAGATCAACGCTCTCAGTCGATCAACCTACTTCAAATCTCCAGTCGATACTACCGGAGTCCACAAGCAAAATTGAAATCACTAATCCCAGGACAAGAGGCTAAATTCTGCAACACCACCAGCAACGATTCTTTTTGCTGTTTTACAGCGAGTTCTTCGAGTGAAATGTACGGGAATTCCCCACTGGAATTCCCGTCGGTCAATTACCCTACTGGCAACAAACCGTCACCGTCACAAACATGAGTCAAGCCCAACCCACTCCACACTCGGAGAATCTAGGTCGACGCAAAGGGGAAAGTCACTCTACGCTTCCAGGCTCGACTCGAAGAACTGACGTTCTTCGAGCCGTCCCCGACTGTATACCCCTCGTGACCGGAACCCTAACTTTACGGCTAAATATAGTAAGTGTCTGAACTTCGTGAGCCGACTCGTAACTACATGACACACTTCAATAGATTCTATTAAATCTATTCCTTGACCAAATCACCAATATACCACGTTGTCTAACACAAATTATTATACAGCAGAGTCCACAATTTTTAACATAATAGATAAACTGGTTGTTCTCATTGATGTATCCTCGTGCTCGTGAAGAGCTGCTTGTCTCGTGCCTGAATTACACGTGCTAGTAAATTGCTCAATAGCATTACTTGTATTACTTGTTTTTTAACTTCTTCGGTGTCAAACTTTAGGTACTCAGATTCGAAATTCAAGCTAACAGACTGATAGCAAGTGATTGAAACAAAGCTGTGGTTCTAAACTCTTTTTGAAGCTTGATCTAGCTTAGGAACCGGATTCTAATACAAATTAGGGAATTTATCTGATTTTGTTAAATGACAGCCTTGAACATCTCTTCAGGACTGAACAGATGAATGGCCTTCAGATTGAGAAATGCTCGTGCAACTTTCGAATAATCGTAACTAACACATTGAGGCCGTTCATCGGGACATGAGCAATTTTTTCTCTTGATTTACAGTGAAACCTGAGGTAAACTGTGAATGAGCATATTCAACATTTACGTGATGTTTAATGCGAACGAAGCAGTCAGCTTGAAGCTTCGAAGTTGAGTACATGGACAGTTGACACCCGTGATGTATCACAGCATTGCACGAGGGCGATCCGAAACTGGGGCGTTGCAGCCTGGCACTCTAGTTTCAACAGTGTAGAGGATCTCCGCAAGTCCAGCCTCCCCAACTCTTCCAAACTTTGCACACAGCATTCGATTCGCTGACTCTCTGATTCACTGTGGAGAGTTTCATAGTGGGTCAAGAGTCAGCGAATCGAATGTGGATGTCAGTAGTGGAAGTTGAGGCTGGATGTCTCCTACAGCTTTGCACATTCCTCAAAGTTGTATCATCCGATGATTTCCACCTCAGAAGCAGGTCGCACCTCTAAAGGGGCGATCGTAGAAGGCAAGCCTGGGAAGCATGTGAATGTGTGATGGCATGATGGAGTTGTGTGTCCAGTCGAAGAGTTCACTCCACGTGGGACAACAGTATGCTGGATATAATATTCAGCTCAGGGACATGATCCCATGAACAGCTCGTCCCGAGGGCGCGGCTTCGTACTTTGTCCTCGAAGTCAAAGCGGACGGGAAGCTTGTCCGAGCATCTCTCCAGGCCTCTTCTATCCCGCTCGAGTCGAGATCGGCCCCACTCGCTGCCTTCCAGAACCATCAAAATAGTTTCGAAGGTACAGGCAGGAAGCAATAGAAACATATTGACGGATTTATTAAGTATTGTGATTATGAAGTGGGAGCTCGCTTGGAAGTGAAATAAATAAATTCTTCCACTAAGACTCAAACGAATTTTTTTTGCCTCGAATGTCTGCTGCTGGGCATTGTTTTTGGTTCTCAATTTCTACATTGTCACTGAAAATATCTTCACTTCGCTCTTTTCTCCAAAGTGGTGTCAATCATGGGATTCTTTCAAATTTATATTTGCATTAATGAAATGTAATGAAATATAATGATTAGAGAAGACATAGAGTTCAAATCATTGTACTGTACGTCAAAAACAAAAAATGAACATCTTAGGCGGCAACTGGGGAATCCCAACGCTGTGATACATGGGAAGGTTTCCAAAGAGTAAGTGATGCATAGTAAATCCATGTGAAAAAATTTCCAAACAAATCATATTTTCATTTGCCCACCGACTGCAGCAAGAAAAGACAGGACGAGTTCACATCTAGAAAAATGGAGGGTGCTCAAATGGATGCTCTCGGATTCATATTTCTTCCTGCATTTAGACTGAACCATTCCAGAAAGTAGAAAATCAGAACATCGGGTTTCGTCATGCACATCTTGTAAATGAATTACATCTTATTCAGAACATGAGATATAATTCATAATATAAAAACTCGGAAGATAAGCCACAACCTTCTTATTTGAAAGAATAGTGTAAGATCCCTTTCATAGAATCCAGTGCGAGTGTAAATTCTAGCATCTGATGAGTTTTCGTCCGAATCAAGTCATCTCATAGACATTTGAGGCAAAAAAAATCGTTGACTTGACTCATCTATCACCTTTTCGTCTCATTTCATCTGTTCCCACTTCAGTTCCAATCTTATTTCTGGATGTAAAATGCCAAATATTCACATAGTACATACAGAGTACTATGAGTAGTACGACTGTCCTCTTTTGAAGTTCTAAATCCTCAAATGAAGTTCTGAACCTTATCTGAATTTTCAATAGGTCATCGTAAATCAGTGAGACGAGTATCACTTCTATATTAATCTTCAAAGGAGATTTCGGTGGAGCCATATCTGGACAAGGCTTTCAGATATTATGATTCCAGACTCACATTAGTTTTAGAAGATTTTGGGAAGAATCAAGATGCTGAATTTTCTTAAACACTTTTGTTGAGGAACAAGATCTGTTCGAAAATGTTCATTTATGTGGGTTAATTAATTGCGGGGCCCATACATGATTTTCTGTCAAGTTTAATAATTCAAGGATGTTGAGCTTTGCTATCACCATATACATAAAATGCAAAATTTGCTATTTTTCTCTCTACTCATCTTTGATGATTTTCATTTTGCAACAGTTGTTCAGCAAAGAGTTCTCAATCTCTTAATCTTGTTCACATGGAAATACATCCAATACCAAATCATTGTTTTCGACCAATAACAATTTTCAATCTTATGATCTGCAATGAAACATGGTCACCACCGATTCCTTCAATGCAGCAAAACCTTCATCCCATATCAGTTTCTTTCCATGCGCATGGAAGCGGGGAGGCTCAGGTACTCGCGCAGATGGCTGTGGGCTCGATCGAGCATTCGCAAAAATGGCATGGAAATGAAGCCGATGTGCCACGAGCACGTCGAGAATTTCAGCATGGAGCCACACAAAGAAAATTTGCCATCCAGCGATCTGAGCAGTGACAGAGTAGTAGCCCATCGAGAGTCAACGCCATGGAAGAAGGAACTTTGGTTCTGTGGAGCATCCCGAGAAAGGACTCTGATGTCGAAAGCATAAGACGATAGAGCGCAAGTCATCGGCATTGTGAATGCAGCCCGGGCGATGTGGTATTTCTGTTCGTAGGCCGGATCGATCGCTGCTCGAAAAATATAGGCACTGTGCCTCGACGTCGGTAGATCGACCGCCTACGAGATCGACGAGCACTCGAGGATTTGTGCTCGAATCGGCGGTTGCTGCTGCTGCTGGGAGGGAGCCGAGCTTCTATCCACGATGGAACCTCCACCCGAGGCCGACCCGATGGGAGAACAAACGAAGAAATTTAAGGTGATGGCGATCTGCAACCGATTATGAGCCACCGTGATCTCAAATCTTTGGTTTGAGAAGAATTCCTGCTGCTGCTGCTCGACGTTGAAATGTGGTCTGTTGTCCATGTCTACAGAGATTGGGCGAGTACGTGTACGAGCTCCAGCACGAGGATGATCCGGAGGCCGTGATCGTGTTCTTCCACGGCCTTTTGATTCAGGAGACGGACATGGGCCACGCTTTCTGGAGCACGTGGACGAAGCGAAATACTCTCGAATGCTGGCCCGTGACGATGCTTCCGGAATTTTTGCAAACGGGGGCGAATCGTCCTGCTCGCCCTTTCAGAATTCGTGTGCTCGCGGTCTCGTACGAGGGACGGACGAGCGTGCATCCAGACATCGGGACGGCCGGGACCGACAAGTACCTTCTCGCCGAGAGTTTAATCCATGAGCTCATTCTGAGCCCTGGCTTAATTCGAGGATCGAAGGCGGTGGAGGACAAAGACGTCCCCGTCTTTCTGGTCGGCCACGACCTCGGAGGGATCATTATTAAGAATCTCGTCATGCAAGTGGAGAGTAAAATTCCCAACAAGAACGCCGAAGACGCCGAGAGAGAAAAACTGCAGAATTTTCTCAGCAATCTGAAAGCTGTGTTCTTCTACGCCACACCTCACAATGGATCGCAAGCCATCGAGGACTTGGCACAGCAAATCCCCGAAGAATCACGCAATCAGATGCTCACTCTGATGAGCGTTCTCGGTACTGATATGGCCAGAATCAACTCAGAATTCAGCACTTATCGGTCCGGCATTGGCGACAATCTGAACCATCCACGATTCAAAACTTACGGCATCGTTCCAACGAGTAAAACCAACCAGGTATGGCTGTCACACCTTCCAGTTCCAGAAATCGACGGATCCGTGGATGACAGCTCCAGCGAGAGCGTCGAGATTGGAAGCTTGTGTCGGAGACTGCCCCAACCCTGCACGTAGAAATATGGACAATGCTTAGATTTATTCAAATCAGAGTTGCTCTTCATCGCCGCAGTCACCGATTCGAGTAGAGAAACGAAGGATCATGTGCGTGAAGTTTTGACTTTTGCGTTGTCCCGTGCAGAGGGGTTTCGACAGGACGATGGTCGTCCCGGAAGCATCTGCTAGACATGATATGGACATATATTTCTCGGTTCGAGATGCTGATCACTTTCAGGTTTGCCAGCCTGAAGGCACTTGGTCCGGTTCCATAACGCAACTCGGTGACAAAGTTTACGAGGAGGTGTCCAAAATCAGAGAATTAGAAGACTTGAGGATATTCAATGCACAAAGAATTGCTGCTGCAGGAAGAGCTGCTGGACGTCCATTAGAACTCCAGCAGTATTGAATGCTGTGATTGTCGTAATCGATGCAAAAAATTCACTGACAGGTTTAGTGTATTAGATTCGGGATAAAGTAACTTGCATGGTAGTCGGATGGAATTACTGCAGCAGTCGAAGTGGAACCCTCCGGCCGTGATCGAGAGACGTGACATGATGAAAAGGGCTTCGACATGCTTGGACATTGTATAGAGCTTTGAAGTGTTAATTAGGTTCGACAAGAGAAATTCACTTCGCCTTCTACTCTGGAACTATTGGGATTAACTTTACAGCGTCCTGTCTTGTGAAAGGTCTAAACTAGAATCGTGCTCGACTTTTGTACATGTCATCTACATAAAATCCTTGTCGTATCAAGCTTCTGTCCAGAGTTTTATGCTTATTTATTGCTTCGTATCTATTGCCTGCCAGTTCCATAGTCGCGAGGGAGGGCTTCCGGTCCCTCGATGAAGAAGGAGACCATCAAGAAAGTGTGCAGTTGACGTAAGCACTAACCATCGAATTGATTTGCCTTCACAATATATATACGTCAATGATCAATTTTATATATATCACGAGTCGACACAATCTAACCACTGCCTTCAGTCAACCTCGTCTTTGTAGCAAGTCGTCGAGCAATGTGACTTTGGAATCACGTTCCTCATCTGAATACATCTTGTTGCAATTCCAACTAACTACTTCCTGTTGCGTTTAAGGGCCTGGGAGGATCACGAGTTTTGATTTAAAAACTAGATTGCAAAACCTTCGATGTCGGTTCCGTCGTAAACCCCAAGGGACGATGGTAGACTCGAGACGAGGATGTTTACCTCTAGATGGAAATGAAGAGATATTTGTCTGACAGAGCTTCCAGTAACAACTACTGCTCGTAAGGCACAAGAGCACAGGCAGCTCGATTGAACTGTTTCTTTTGTTCGTGTTGCACTTCGTTTCACGTGTTCTGATTCTCTGTATTATAGCTGGCAACCAAGATAAATAGGATCATGATCATCGTCGAGGGAGATTTGTGAAAATCCTCGGGTAAGTTCATTATCACCTGGCCAAATCTACTTTGCTCCATGCACAGAACCATCGCATGAAACTTACGTTTTATGAATTTTTTTCTCAAATTTAGTTCAAAATACTTTTCCAGATAGTCATCTAAATAAGCTTGTCAAGCATCTAAAAAAATGTCTCCAACGAGATCCAGGTTTTGAATTGAACTCTCTAACTTTAAATCATGTGAATAACATATATTTTACTTTAACTTCGTAGATGTATGTAGAAAAGTTCGTTAAGACGTTACTAGACTACTAGTTACTAGATCTACTAGACTTTATAAAGATGCGCATTTATCGATCTTCTAGAGGCCCATTGTGGTTTGCGCACAACAACAAAGCACACACGATCACTTCATCCATACTCCGCTGGCAAGCACATAGAAGTATCCCTTTGTGTACGTTCAACATGCTGAGGCTGATCTGAGTTCTGGGAATATCCGGACGTGCCCTCCTACAATAGACCATATTTTAGCTTTGACCCAGAATCCGAAACTCCTCAAATCGCTAGACAGTTAAATAACAAGGGAGAACCAGTGGTTCCACCGTCTGACATTGGATCTCCCAGAATGCCAGTGGCGATTTTTCTCCTCGCATCTCCTGAGTGAAAGCTGCATGGGATAAGCATCAGGTCTTCTTCAACTTGGGCAAGCAACGTGCGATGGAATAATATAAGCCATGGGGTTGGCGTGTATGCGAGAGTCATCTATTCACTGTTAGGTACAGAATAATGGAGCACCCACTGCGACTTTCAGGCAGAAAGACTTTGATGTCACACACCTGGATTGTCAATTTGCATTGAGTCTCGAGGTGTTACCCGATCTTTTGATTTCTGTCCATTATGGTCAACAGTAATCCATGAAGTGGGTCCGCACTTAATTTCACCCACATCTCGGCCATGTCACTCTAGTATCACAGAGTCAACGTCAGTGAAGACCGCTTGTCAGGCATTCAGTCTTCCGGATGGAATCATTCTCAGAATACAATTTTGTGCAAAATGCAAGGCTGTCGAAGAGCTTGCAGCCTCAAGTGATGGTAGTAACACTTCAATAGATTCTATTAAATCTATCCCTTAACCGAATCACCAATAAACCAGGTTGTCTAACACAAATTATTATACAGCAGAGTCCGCAATTTTTAATATAATAGATAAACTGGTTCTTCTCATTGATGTATCCTCGTGCTCGTGAAGAGCTGCTTGTCTCGTGCCTGAAATACACTTTCTAGTAAATTGCTCAATAGTATTACTTGTTTTTTAACTTCTTCGGCGTCAAATTTTAGGTGCAGATTCGAAATTCAAGCTAACAGAATGATAGCAAGTGATTGAAACAAAGCTGTGGTACGAAGTCAAAATCCACATCGGGCTGCAAGGAGAAAGGAGAATTCATGGACACCATGTAAGGGAAAGTTCTGATTCGGTGTCCCGAGACAGAACCGAGCACCTCGCGGCTTCGTGGCCTGTGACTCGTCTTCCCGTTTTGCGACTTTTGCATGGAGTTCGCGGTTGGCTTCGACGCAGATGTGGCTGGTACCAAGTTGCTGTCCATGTTCTTTACACTACTCTTCTGACGAATGCTTCTCCCGTTCAGTGCCTGGAAAACCGCACAGGGCAAGTCGCACGACAGAATGCTGCGATGAGGTCCTTCAGATGGTGCAGGCGTCAACTTTGTATCTTGTCTGATGCAAGTTGGCAAGTTGCCCACTTGTGATTCTATGACGGCCTGCTCCATAAGGGAGGGCTCTCCTAGAGGGTCCTCTGTGAGCGTCACCCCAGAAAGTGGGAGGAAGTCCCTCGAATTCCACTGGGATCCGATATTTCTCATTCGGGTTGCGTGTTCTGTCTGCCGGTCAGAACACATTCCATGCACTGCTCGGTCGTTCCTGGCCCCGCAGCTCTGTCGCCACGGCAGTCGCCACATGGGCCTTCATTGGAATCATCAATCTTACAGGACACATTATTTTCCAGGTCTTTCAAACTTCAGATTCGAAATTAAAGCGAGCAGACTGATAGCAAGTGATTGAAACAAAGCTGTGGTTCTAAAGTTTTTTTGAAGCTAGATCTAGCTTAGGAAAACAACTTAGAGAATTCTTATACAACTTAATACATTTATGGGACCCTTGAACATCTCTTCAGGACTGAACAGATGAATGACCTTCAGATTGAGAATTGCTCGTGCAACTTTCGAATAATCGTAACTAACACCTTGAGGACGTTCATCGGGACATGAGCAGTTTTTTCTCTTGATTTAGGGTGAAACCTGAGGTAACCTGTGAATGAGCATATTCATCATTTACGTGATGTTTTAATGCGAACGAAGCAATCAGCTTGAAGCTACGAGGTTGAGTACATGGACAGTTTACACCCGAGATGTATTACAGCATTGCACGAGGGCGAGCCGAAACTGGGGCGTTGCAGCCTGGCACTCAATTTTCAACAGTTAGAGGATCTCAGGGACCCATCCCATGAACAGCTCGTCCCGTGGGCGCAGCTTCGTGCTTTGTCCTCGAAGTCAAAGCGGACAGGATGCTTGTCCGAGCATCTCTTCAGGACTCTTCTATCCCGCTCGAGTCGAGACCGGCCCCACTTTGCTGCCTTCCAGAACCATCAAATAGGTTCATAGGTACAGCCGGGACGCAATAGAAACATGATGACGGATTCATTCAGTATTGTGATTATGAAGTGGGAGCTTGCTTGGAAGTGAAATAAATAAATTCTTACACTTAGACTCGACGATTCTTTTTGCCTCGAATATCTGCTGCGGGGCATTGTTTTCGGTTCTCAACTTCCACATTTTCAGTGAAAATATCTTAAACTTCGCTATTTTCTCCAAAATGGTGTTAATCATGGAATTCTCTTACATATATATATTTTTTAATGAAATATAATGATTAGAGAAGACAGCGAGCTATAATTTTTGTACTCTACGTCAAAAACAAAAGATGAACATCTTAGGCGGCAACTGGGGAATCCCAACACTGTGATACATGGGAAGGTTTCCAAAGAGTAAGTGATGCAGAGTAAATCCATTTGAAAAAATTTCCAAACAAATCATATATTCATTTGCCCACCAATGCAGCAAGAAAAGACAGAAAGAGTTTACATCTAGAAAAATGGAGGGTGCTCTCGGATTCATATTTCTTCCTCCATTTAGACTGAACCATTCCAGAAAGTAGAAAATCAGAACATCGAATTTCGTCATGCACATCTTCTAAATGCATTACATCTTATTCAGAACATAAGATATAGTTCATAAAGAAAAACTCGGAAGATAAGACTCAACCTTCTTATTTAAAAGAATAGTGTAAGATCCCTTCATAGAATCCAGTGCCAGTGTAAATTCTAGCATCTGATGAGATTTCGTCCGAATCAAATCATTTCATAGACATTTGAGGCAAAAACAATCCTTGACTTGACTCATCTATCACCTTTTCGCCTCATTTCATGTGTTCCCACTTCAGTTCCAAACTTATTTCTGGATATAAAATGCCAAATACACACATAGAACATACAGAGTACTATGAGTTGTACGACTGTCCTCTTTTGAAGTTCTAAATCCTCAAATGAAGTTCTGAACCTTATCTGAATCTTCAATAGGTCATCGTAAATCAGTGAGACGAGTATCAATTCTAAATTTAATCTTCAAAGGAGATTTCGGTGGAGCCATATCTGGACAAGGCTTTCAGATATTGTGATTCCAGACTCACATTAGTTTTAGAAGATTTTAGGAAGAATCAAGATGTTGAATTTTCTTAAACACTTTTCTTGAGGAGCAAGATCTGTTTCAAAGTGTTCATTTATTGCGGGGCCCATACATGATTTTCTGTCAAGTTTAATAATTCAAGGATGTTGAGCTTTGCTATCACAATATAAGTAAATACATAAAATGCAAAATTTGCTCTTTTTCTTTTCTACTCATCTTCGACGTTCTTTACTTTGCAACAGTTATTCACCAAAGAGTTCTCAATCTCTTAATCTCGCTCACATGGAAATACATCCAATACCAAATCATTGTTTTCGACCAAGAATAATTTTCAATCTTATGATCTGCAATAAAACATGGTCACCACCGATTCCTTCAATGCAGCAAAATTTTCATCCCAAATCAGTTTCTTTCCATGCGCATGGAAGCGGGGAGGCTCAGGTACTCGCGCAGATGGCTGTGGGCTCGATCGAGCATTCGCAAAAATAGCATGGAAATGAAGCCGATGTGCCACGAGCACGTCGAGAAATTCAGCATGGAGCCACACGAAGAAAATTTGCCATCCAGCGATCTGAGCAGTGACAGAGTAGCAGCCGATCTAGAGTCAACGCCATGGAAGAAGGAACTTTGGTTCTGTGGAGCATCCCGAGAAAGGACTCTGATGTCGAAAGCATAAGACGATAGAGCGCAAGTCATCGGCATTGTGAATGCAGCCCGGGCGATGTGGTATTTCTGTTCGTAGGCCGGATCGATCGCTGCTCGAAAAATATAGGCACTGTGCCTCGACGTCGGTAGATCGACCGCCTACGAGATCGACGAGCACTCGAGGATTTGTGCTCGAATCGGCGGTTGCTGCTGCTGCTGGGAGGGAGCCGAGCTTCTTTCCACGATGGAACCTCCACCCGAGGCCGACCCGATGGCAGAACAAACGAAGAAATTTAAGGTGATGGCGATCTGCAACCGATTATGAGCCACCGTGATCTCAATTCTTTGGTTTGAGAAGAATTCCTGCTGCTGCTGCTCAAGGTTGAAATGTGGTCTGTTGTCCATGTCTACAGAGATTGGGCGAGTACGTGTACGAGCTCCAGCACGATGAGGACCCGGAGGCCGTGATCGTGTTCTTCCACGGCCTTTTGATTCAGGAGACGGACACGGGCCACGCTTTCTGGAGCACGTGGACGAAGCGAAATAAACCTCTCGAATGCTGGCCCGTGACGATGCTTCCGAAATTTTGGGAAAGCAGGGCAAAGAGTCCTCCTCGCCCTTTCAGTATTCGTGTGCTCGCGGTCTCGTACGAGGGACGGACGAGCGTGCATCCAGACATCGGGACGGCCGGGACCGACAAGTACCTTCTCGCCGAGAGTTTAATCAGTGAGCTCATTCTGAGCCGTCAGGACTTGATTCGAGGATCGAAGGCGGTGGAGGACAACGAAGTCCCCGTCTTTCTGGTCGGCCACGACCTCGGAGGGATCATAATTAAGAATCTCGTCATGCAAGTGGAGAGTAAAATTGCCAACAAGGACGAAGACGCCGAGAAAGAAAAACTGCAGAATTTTCTCAGCAATCTGAACACTGTGTTCTTCTACGCCACACCTCACAGTGGATCGCAAGCCATCGAGGACTTGGCCAAGCAAATCCCCGAAGACTCACGCAATCAGATGCTCACTCTGATGAGCGTTCTCGGTACTGATATGGCCAGAATCAACTCAGAATTCAGCACTTATCGGTCCGGCATTGGCGACAATCTGAACCATCCACGATTCAAAACTTACGGCATCGTTCCAACGAGTTTAACCAACCAGGTATGGCTGTCACACCTTCCAGTTCCAGAAATCGACGGATCCGTGGATGACAGCTCCAGCGAGAGCGTCGAGATTGGAAGCTTGTGTCGGAGACTGCCCCAACCCTGCACGTAGAAATATGGACAATGCTTAGATTTATTCAAATCAGAGTTGCTCTTCATCGCCGCAGTCACCGATTCGAGTAGAGAAACGAAGTATCATGTGCGTGAAGTTTTGACTTTTGCGTTGTCCCGTGCAGAGGGGTTTCGACAGGACGATGGTCGTCCCGGAAGCATCTGCTAGACATGATATGGACATATATTTCTCGGTTCGAGATGCTGATCACTTTCAGGTTTGCCAGCCTGAAGGCACTTGGTCCGGTTCCATAACGCCACTCGGTGACAAAGTTTACGAGGAGGTGTCGGAAAGCAGAGAATTAGAAGACTGGAGGATATTCAATGCACAAAGAATTGCTGCTGCAGGAAGAGCTGCTGGAAGTCCATTAGAACTCCAGCAGTATTGAATGCTGTGATTGTCGTTAATCGATGCAAAAATTTCACTGACAGGTTTAGTGTATTAGATTCGGGATAAAGTAACTTGCATGGTAGTCGGATGGAATTACTGCAGCAGTCGAAGTGGAACCCTCCGGCCGTGATCGAGAGACGTGACATGATAAAAAGGGCTTCGACATGCTTGGACATTGTATAGAGCTTTGAAGTGTTAATTAGGTTCGAAACGAGAAATTCACTTCGCCTTCTACTCTGGAACTATTGGGATTAACTTTACAGCGTCCTGTCTTGTGAAAGGTCTAAACTAGAATCGTGCTCGACTTTTGTACATGTCATCTACATAAAATCCTTGTCAAATCAAGCTTCTGTCCAGAGTTTTATGCTTATTTATTGCTTCGTATCTATTGCCTGCCAGTTCCATAGTCGCGACGGAGGGCTTCCGGTCCCTCGATGAAGAAGGAGACCATCAAGAAAATGTGCAGTTGACGTAAGCACTACCCATCGAATTGATTTGCCTTCACAATATATATACGTCAATGATCAATTTTATATATATCACGAGTCGACACAATCTAACCACTGCCTTCAGTCAACCTCGTCTTTGTAGGAAGTCGTCGAGCAATGTGACTTTGGAATCACGTTCCTCATCTGAATACATCTTGTTGCAATTCCAACTAACTACTTCCTGTTGCGTTTAAGGGCCTGGGAGGATCACGAGTTTTGATTTAAAAACTAGATTGCAAAACCTTCGATGTCGGTTCCGTCGTACACCCCAAGGGACGATGGTAGACTCGAGACGAGGATGTTTACCTCTAGATGGAAATGAAGAGATATTTGTCTGTCAGAGCTTCCAGTAACAACTACTGCTCGTAAGGCACAAGAGCACAGGCAGCTCGATTGAACTGTTTCTTTTGTTCGTGTTGCACTTCGTTTCACGTGTTCTGATTCTCTGTATTATAGCTGGCAACCAAGATAAATAGGATCATGATCATCGTCGAGGGAGATTTGTGAAAATCCTCGGGTAAGTTCATATTCACCTGAACAAATCTACTTTGCTCCATGCACAGAACCATCGCATGAAACTTACGTTTTATGAATTTTTTTCTCAAATTTAGTTCAAAATACTTTTCCAGATTGACATCTAAATAAGACTTAAGCTTGTCAAGCATCTAAAAAAATGTCTCCAACGAGATCCAGGTTTTGAATTGAACTCTCTAACTTTAAATCATGTGAATTACATATATTTTACTTTAACTTCGTAGATGTATGTAGAAAAGTTCGTTAAGACGTTCTACTAGACTTTATAAAGATGCGCATTTATCGATCTTCTAGAGGCCCATTGTGGATTGCGCACAACAACAAAGCACACACGATCGCTTCATCCATACTCCGCTGGCAACCACATAGAAGTATCCCTTTGTGTACGTTCAACATGCTGAGGCTGATCTGAGTTCTGGGAATATCCGGACGTGCCCTCCTACAATAGACCATATTTTAGCTTTGACCCAGAATCCGAAACTCCTCAAATCGCTAGACAGTTAAATAACAAGGGAGAACCAGTGGTTCCACCGTCTGACATTGGATCTCCCAGAATGCCAGTGGCGATTTTTCTCCTCGCATCTCCTGAGTGAAAGCTGCATGGGATAAGCATCAGGTCTTCTTCAACTTGGGCAAGCAACGTGCGATGGAATAATATAAGCCATGGGGTTGGCGTGTATGCGAGAGTCATCTATTCACTGTTAGGTACAGAATAATGGAGCACCCACTGCGACTTTCAGGCAGAAAGACTTTGATGTCACACACCTGGATTGTCAATTTGAATTGAGTCTCGAGGTGTTACCCGATCTTTTGATTTCTGTACATTATGGTCAACAGTAATCCATGAAGTGGGTCCGCACTTCATTTCACCCACATCTCGGCCATGTCACTCAAGTATCACAGAGTCAACGTCAGTGAAGACCGCTTGTCAGGCATTCAGTCTTCCGGACGGAATCATTCTCAGAATACAATTTTGTGCAAAATGCAAGGCTGTCGAAGAGCTTGCAGCCTCAAATGATGGTCGTAACACTTCAATAGATTCTATTAAATCTATCCCTTAACCGAATCACCAATAAACCAGGTTGTCTAACACAAATTATTATACAGCAGAGTCCGCAATTTTTAATATAAAAGATAAACTGGTTCTTCTCATTGATGTATCCTCGTGCTCGTGAAGAGCTGCTTGTCTCGTGCCTGAAATACACTTTCTAGTAAATTGCTCAATAGTATTACTTGTTTTTTAACTTCTTCGGCGTCAAATTTTAGGTGCAGATTCGAAATTCAAGCTAACAGACTGATAGCAAGTGATTGAAACAAAGCTGTGGTACGAAGTCAAAATCCACATCGGGCTGCAAGGAGAAAGGAGAATTCATGGACACCATGTAAGGGAAAGTTCTGATTCGGTGTCCCGAGACAGAACCGAGCACCTCGCGGCTTCGTGGCCTGTGACTCGTCTTCCCGTTTTGCGACTTTTGCATGGAGTTCGCGGTTGGCTTCGACGCAGATGTGGCTGGTACCAAGTTGCTGTCCATGTTCTTTACACTACTCTTCTGACGAATGCTTCTCCCGTTCAGTGCCTGGAAGACCGCACAGGGCAAGTCGCACGACAGAATGCTGCGATGAGGTCCTTCAGATGGTGCAGGCGTCAACTTTGTATCTTGTCTGATGCAAGTTGGCAAGTTGCCCACTTGAGATTCTATGACGGCCTGCTCCATAAGGGAGGGCTCTCCTAGAGGGTCCTCTGTGAGCGTCACCCCAGAAAGTGGGAGGAAGTCCCTCGAATTCCACTGGGATCCGATATTTCTCATTCGGGTTGCGTGTTCTGTCTGCCGGTCAGAACACATTCCATGCACTGCTCGGTCGTTCCTGGCCCCGCAGCTCTGTCGCCACGGCAGTCGCCACATGGGCCTTCATTGGAATCATCAATCTTACAGGACACATTATTTTCCAGGTCTTTCAAACATCAGATTCGAAATTAAAGCGACCAGACTGATAGCAAGTGATTGAGACAAAGCTGTGGTTCTAAAGTTTTTTTGAAGCTAGATCTAGCTTAGGAAAACAACTTAGAGAATTCTTATACAACTTAATACATTTATCGGACCCTTGAACATCTCTTCAGGACTGAACAGATGAATGACCTTCAGATTGAGAATTGCTCGTGCAACTTTCGAATAATCGTAACTAACACCTTGAGGACGTTCATCGGGACATGAGCAGTTTTTTCTCTTGATTTAGGGTGAAACCTGAGGTAACCTGTGAATGAGCATATTCATCATTTACGTGATGTTTTAATGCGAACGAAGCAGTCAGCTTGAAGCTACGAGGTTGAGTACATGGACAGTTTACACCCGAGATGTATTACAGCATTGCACGAGGGCGAGCCGAAACTGGGGCGTTGCAGCCTGGCACTCAATTTTCAACAGTGAGAGGATCTCAGGGACCCATCCCATGAACAGCTCGTCCCGTGGGCGCAGCTTCGTACTTTGTCCTCGAAGTCAAAGCGGACAGGATGCTTGTCCGAGCATCTCTTCAGGACTCTTCTGTCCCGCTCGAGTCGAGACCGGCCCCACTTTGCTGCCTTCCAGAACCATCAAATAGGTTCATAGGTACAGCCGGGACGCAATAGAAACATGATGACGGATTCATTCAGTATTGTGATTATGAAGTGGGAGCTTGCTTGGAAGTGAAATAAATAAATTCTTACACTTCGACTCGACGATTCTTTTTGCCTCGAATATCTGCTGCGGGGCATTGTTTTCGGTTCTCAACTTCCACATTTTCAGTGAAAATATCTTAAACTTCGCTATTTTCTCCAAAATGGTGTTAATCATGGAATTCTCTTACATATATATATTTTTTAATGAAATATAATGATTAGAGAAGACAGCGAGCTATAATTTTTGTACTCTAGGTCAAAAACAAAAGATGAACATCTTAGGCGGCAACTGGGGAATCCCAACACTGTGATACATGGGAAGGTTTCCAAAGAGTAAGTGATGCATAGTAAATCCATGTGAAAAAATTTCGAAACAAATCATATATTCATTTGCCCACCAATGCAGCAAGAAAAGACAGAACGAGTTTACTTCTAGAAAAATGGAGGGTGCTCTCGGATTCATATTTCTTCCTCCATTTAGACTGAACCATTCCAGAAAGTAGAAAATCAGAACATCGAATTTCGTCATGCACATCTTCTAAATGCATTACATCTTATTCAGAACATAAGATATAATTCATAAAGAAAAACTCGGAAGATAAGACTCAACCTTCTTATTTGAAAGAATAATGTAAGATCCCTTCATAGAATCCAGTGCCAGTGTAAATTCTAGCATCTGATGAGATTTCGTTCGAATCAAATCATTTCATAGACATTTGAGGCAAAAACAATCGTTGACTTGACTCATCTATCACCTTTTCGCCTCATTTCATGTGTTCCCACTTCAGTTCCAAACTTATTTCTGGATATAAAATGCCAAATACACACATAGTACATACAGAGTACTATGAGTTGTACGACTGTCCTCTTTTGAAGTTCTAAATCCTCAAATGAAGTTCTGAACCTTATCTGAATCTTCAATAGGTCATCGTAAATCAGTGAGACGAGTATCAATTCTAAATTTAATCTTCAAAGGAGATTTCGGTGGAGCCATATCTGGACAAGGCTTTCAGATATTGTGATTCCAGACTCACATTAGTTTTAGAAGATTTTAGGAAGAATCAAGATGCTGAATTTTCTTTAACACTTTTGTTGAGGAGCAAGATCTGTTCCAAAGTGTTCATTTATTTGGGTTAATTTATTGCGGGGCCCATACATGATTTTCTGTCAAGTTTAATAATTCAAAGATGTTGAGCTTTGCTATCACAATATAAGTAAATACATAAAATGCAAAATTTGCTATTTTTCTTTTCTACTCATCTTCGACGTTCTTTATTTTGCAACAGTTATTCACCAAAGAGTTCTCAATCTCTTAATCTCGCTCACATGGAAATACATCCAATACCAAATCATTGTTTTCGACCAATAACAATTTTCAATCTTATGATCTGCAATGAAACATGGTCACCACCGATTCCTTCAATGCAGCAAAACCTTCATCCCATATCAGTTTCTTTCCATGCGCATGGAAGCGGGGAGGCTCAGGTACTCGCGCAGATGGCTGTGGGCTCGATCGAGCATTCGCAAAAATGGCATGGAAATGAAGCCGATGTGCCACGAGCACGTCGAGAATTTCAGCATGGAGCCACACAAAGAAAATTTGCCATCCAGCGATCTGAGCAGTGACAGAGTAGCAGCCGATCGAGAGTCAACGCCATGGAAGAAGGAACTTTGGTTCTGTGGAGCATCCCGAGAAAGGACTCTGATGTCGAAAGCATAAGACGATAGAGCGCAAGTCATCGGCATTGTGAATGCAGCCCGGGCGATGTGGTATTTCTGTTCGTAGGCCGGATCCATCGCTGCTCGAAAAACATAGGCACTGTGCCTCGACGTCGGTAGATCGACCGCCTACGAGATCGACGAGCACTCGAGGATTTGTGCTCGAATCGGCGGTTGCTGCTGCTGCTGGGAGGGAGCCGAGCTTCTATCCACGATGGAACCTCCACCCGAGGCCGACCCGATGGCAGAACAAACGAGGCAATTTGATGTGATGGCGATTTTCCACCGACTTCCAGCCATTGTGATGTCAATTCTTTGGTTTGACAAGAATTGCTGCTGCTGCTGGTGCTGCTGCTCGACGTTGAAATGTGGTCTGTTGTCCATGTCTACAGAGATTGGGCGAGTACGTGTACGAGCTCCAGCACGAGGATGACCCGGAGGCCGTGATCGTGTTCTTCCACGGCCTTTTGATTCAGGAGACGGACACGGGCCACGCTTTCTGGAGCACGTGGACGAAGCGAAATAAACCTCTCGAATGCTGGCCCGTGACGATGCTTCCGGAATTTTTGCAAAGGAGGGCGAATCGTCCTCCTCGCCCTTTCAGAATTCGTGTGCTCGCGGTCTCGTACGAGGGACGGACGAGCGTGCATCCAGACATCGGGACGGTCGGGACCGACAAGTACCTTCTCGCCGAGAGTTTAATCCGTGAGCTCATTCTGAGCCCTGGCTTAATTCGAGGATCGAAGGCGGTGGAGGACAACGAAGTCCCCGTCTTTCTGGTCGGCCACGACCTCGGAGGGATCATAATTAAGAATCTCGTCATGCAAGTGGAGAGTAAAATTGCCAACAAGGACGAAGACGCCGATGGAGAAAAACTGCAGAATTTTCTCAGCAATCTGAAAGCTGTGTTCTTCTACGCCACACCTCACAGTGGATCGCAAGCCATCGAGGACTTGGCCAAGCAAATCCCCGAAGACTCACGCAATCAGATGCTCACTCTGATGAGCGTTCTCGGTACTGATATGGCCAGAATCAACTCAGAATTCAGCACTTATCGGTCCGGCATTGGCGACAATCTAAACCATCCACGATTCAAAACTTACGGCATCGTTCCAACGAGTAAAACCAACCAGGTATGGCTGTCACACCTTCCAGTTCCAGAAATCGATGGATCCGTGGATGACAGCTCCAGCGAGAGCGTCGATATTGGAAGCTTGTGTTAGAGACTGCCCCAACCCTGCACGTAGAAATATGGACAATGCTTAGATTTATTCTAATTAGAGTTGCTCTTCATCGCCGCAGTCATCGATTCGAGTAGAGAAACGAAGTATCATGTGCGTGAAGTTTTGACTTTTGCGTTGTCCCGTGCAGAGGGGTTTCGTCAGGACGATGGTCGTCCTGGAAGCATCTGCTAGATGTGATATGGACATATGTTTCTGGGTTCGAGATGCTGATCACTTTCAGGTTTGTCAGCCTCAAGGCATTTGGTCCGGTTCCATAACGCAACTCGGTGACAAAGTTTACGAGGAGGTGTCGAAAATCAGAGAATTAGAAGACTTGAGGATATTCAATGCACAAAGAATTGCTCCTGCAGGAAGAGGAGCTGGACGTCCATTAGAACTCCAGCAGTATTGAATGCTGTGATTGTCGTTAATCGATGCAAAAATTTCACTGACAAGTTTAGTGTATTAGATTCGGGATAAAGTGACTTGCATGGTTGTCGGATGGAACTACTGCAGCAGTCGAAGTGGAACCCTCCGGCCGTGATCGAGAGACGTGACATGTTGAAAAGGGCTTCGACATGCTTGGACATTGTATAGAGCTTTGAAGTGTTCAATAGGTTCGACACGAGATATTCACTTCGCCTTCTACTCTGGAACTATTGGGATTAACTTTACAGCGTCCTGTCTTGTGAAAGGTCTAAACTAGAATCGTGCTCGACTTTTGTACATGTCATCTACATAAAATCCTTGTCAAATCAAGCTTCTGTCCAGAGTTTTATGCTTATTTATTGCTTCGTATCTATTGCCTGCCAGTTCCATAGTCGCGACGGAGGGCTTCCGGTCCCTCGATGAAGAAGGAGACCATCAAGAAAGTGTGCAGTTGACGTAAGCACTACCCATCGAATTGATTTGCCTTCACAATATATATACGTCAATGATCAATTTTATATATATCACGAGTCGACATAATCTAACCACTGCCTTCAGTCAACCTCGTCTTTGTAGCAAGTCGTCGAGCAATGTGTCTTTGGAATCACGTTCCTCATCTGAATACATCTTGATGCAATTCCAACTAACTTCTTCCTGTTGCGTTTTAGGGCCTGGGAGGATCACGAGTTTTGATTTAAAAACTAGATTGCAAAACCTTCGATGTCGGTTCCGTCGTAAACCCCAAGGGACGATGGTAGACTCGAGACGAGGATGTTTACCTCTAGATGGAAATGAAGAGATATTTGTCTGTCAGAGCTTCCAGTAACAACTACTGCTCGTAAGGCACAAGAGCACAGGCAGCTCGATTGAACTGTTTCTTTTGTTCGTGTTGCACTTCGTTTCACGTGTTCTGATTCTCTGTATTATAGCTGGCAACAAAGATAAATAGGATCATGATCATCGTCGAGGGAGATTTGTGAAAATCCTCGGGTAAGTTCATATTCACCTGGCCAAATCTACTTTGCTCCATGCACAGAACCATCGCATGAAACTTACGTTTTATGAATTTTTTTCTCAAATTTAGTTCAAAATACTTTTCCAGATTGACATCTAAATAAGCTTGTCAACCATCTAAAAAAATGTCTCCAACGAGATCCAGGTTTCGAATTGAACTCTCTAACTTTAAATCATGTGAATTACATATATTTTACTTTAACTTCGTAGATGTATGTAGAAAAGTTCGTTAAGACGTTCTACTAGACTTTATAAAGATGCGCATTCATCGATCTTCTAGAGGCCCATTGTGGATTGCGCACAACAACAAAGCACACACGATCACTTCATCCATACTCCGCTGGCAAGCACATAGAAGTATCCCTTTGTGTACGTTCAACATGCTGAGGCTGATCTGAGTTCTGGGAATATCCGGACGTGCCCTCCTACAATAGACCATATTTTAGCTTTGACCCAGAATCCGAAACTCCTCAAATCGCTAGACAGTTAAATAACAAGGGAGAACCAGTGGTTCCACCGTCTGACATTGGATCTCCCAGAATGCCAGTGGCGATTTTTCTCCTCGCATCTCCTGAGTGAAAGCTGCATGGGATAAGCATCAGGTCTTCTTCAACTTGGGCAAGCAACGTGCGATGGAATAATATAAGCCATGGGGTTGGCGTGTATGCGAGAGTCATCTATTCACTGTTAGGTACAGAATAATGGAGCACCCACTGCGACTTTCAGGCAGAAAGACTTTGATGTCACACACCTGGATTGTCAATTTGCATTGAGTCTCGAGGTGTTACCCGATCTTTTGATTTCTGTACATTATGGTCAACAGTAATCCATGAAGTGGGTCCGCACTTCATTTCACCCACATCTCGGCCATGTCACTCAAGTATCACAGAGTCAACGTCAGTGAAGACCGCTTGTCAGGCATTCAGTCTTCCGGACGGAATCATTCTCAGAATACAATTTTGTGCAAAATGCAAGGCTGTCGAAGAGCTTGCAGCCTCAAGTGATGGTCGTAACACTTCAATAGATTCTATTAAATCTATCCCTTAACCGAATCACCAATAAACCAGGTTGTCTAACACAAATTATTATACAGCAGAGTCCGCAATTTTTAATATAAAAGATAAACTGGTTCTTCTCATTGATGTATCCTCGTGCTCGTGAAGAGCTGCTTGTCTCGTGCCTGAAATACACTTTCTAGTAAATTGCTCAATAGTATTACTTGTTTTTTAACTTCTTCGGCGTCAAATTTTAGGTGCAGATTCGAAATTCAAGCTAACAGACTGATAGCAAGTGATTGAAACAAAGCTGTGGTACGAAGTCAAAATCCACATCGGGCTGCAAGGAGAAAGGAGAATTCATGGACACCATGTAAGGGAAAGTTCTGATTCGGTGTCCCGAGACAGAACCGAGCACCTCGCGGCTTCGTGGCCTGTGACTCGTCTTCCCGTTTTGCGACTTTTGCATGGAGTTCGCGGTTGGCTTCGACGCAGATGTGGCTGGTACCAAGTTGCTGTCCATGTTCTTTACACTACTCTTCTGACGAATGCTTCTCCCGTTCAGTGCCTGGAAGACCGCACAGGGCAAGTCGCACGACAGAATGCTGCGATGAGGTCCTTCAGATGGTGCAGGCGTCAACTTTGTATCTTGTCTGATGCAAGTTGGCAAGTTGCCCACTTGAGATTCTATGACGGCCTGCTCCATAAGGGAGGGCTCTCCTAGAGGGTCCTCTGTGAGCGTCACCCCAGAAAGTGGGAGGAAGTCCCTCGAATTCCACTGGGATCCGATATTTCTCATTCGGGTTGCGTGTTCTGTCTGCCGGTCAGAACACATTCCATGCACTGCTCGGTCGTTCCTGGCCCCGCAGCTCTGTCGCCACGGCAGTCGCCACATGGGCCTTCATTGGAATCATCAATCTTACAGGACACATTATTTTCCAGGTCTTTCAAACATCAGATTCGAAATTAAAGCGAGCAGACTGATAGCAAGTGATTGAAACAAAGCTGTGGTTCTAAAGTTTTTTTGAAGCTAGATCTAGCTTAGGAAAACAACTTAGAGAATTCTTATACAACTTAAAACATTTATCGGACCCTTGAACATCTCTTCAGGACTGAACAGATGAATGATCTTCAGATTGAGAATTGCTCGTGCAACTTTCGAATAATCGTAACTAACACCTTGAGGACGTTCATCGGGACATGAGCAGTTTTTTCTCTTGATTTAGGGTGAAACCTGAGGTAACCTGTGAATGAGCATATTCATCATTTACGTGATGTTTTACTGCGAACGAAGCAGTCAGCTTGAAGCTACGAGGTTGAGTACATGGACAGTTTACACCCGAGATGTATTACAGCATTGCACGAGGGCGAGCCGAAACTGGGGCGTTGGAGCCTGGCACTCAATTTTCAACAGTTAGAGGATCTCAGGGACCCATCCCATGAACAGCTCGTCCCGTGGGCGCAGCTTCGTGCTTTGTCCTCGAAGTCAAAGCGGACAGGATGCTTGTCCGAGCATCTCTTCAGGACTCTTCTATCCCGCTCGAGTCGAGACCGGCCCCACTTTGCTGCCTTCCAGAACCATCAAATAGGTTCATAGGTACAGCCGGGACGCAATAGAAACATGATGACGGATTCATTCAGTATTGTGATTATGAAGTGAGAGCTTGCTTGGAAGTGAAATAAATAAATTCTTACACTTAGACTCGACGATTCTTTTTGCCTCGAATATCTGCTGCGGGGCATTGTTTTCGGTTCTCAACTTCCACATTTTCAGTGAAAATATCTTAAACTTCGCTTTTTTCTCCAAAATGGTGTTAATCATGGAATTCTCTTACATATATTTTTTTTTTAATGAAATATAATGATTAGAGAAGACAGCGAGCTATAATTTTTGTACTCTACGTCAAAAACAAAAGATGAACATCTTAGGCGGCAACTGGGGAATCCCAACACTGTGATACATGGGAAGGTTTCCAAAGAGTAAGTGATGCAGAGTAAATCCATTTGAAAAAATTTCCAAACAAATCATATATTCATTTGCCCACCAATGCAGCAAGAAAAGACAGAAAGAGTTTACATCTAGAAAAATGGAGGGTGCTCTCGGATTCATATTTCTTCCTCCATTTAGACTGAACCATTCCAGAAAGTCAGAACATCGAGTTTCGTCATGCACATCTTCTAAATGAATTACATCTTATTCAGAACATAAGATATAATTCATAAAAAAAAACTCGGAAGATAAGCCTCAACCTTCTTATTTGAAAGAATAATGTAAGATCCCTTCATAGAATCCAGTGCCAGTGTAAATTCTAGCATCTGATGAGATTTCGTTCGAATCAAATCATTTCATAGACATTTGAGGCAAAAACAATCGTTGACTTGACTCATCTATCACCTTTTCGCCTCATTTCATGTGTTCCCACTTCAGTTCCAAACTTATTTCTGGATATAAAATGCCAAATACACACATAGTACATACAGAGTACTATGAGTTGTACGACTGTCCTTCTTTGAAGTTCTAAATCCTCAAATGAAGTTCTGAACCTTATCTGAATCTTCAATAGGTCATCGTAAATCAGTGAGACGAGTATCAATTCTAAATTTAATCTTCAAAGGAGATTTCGGTGGAGCCATATCTGGACAAGGCTTTCAGATATTGTGATTCCAGACTCACATTAGTTTTAGAAGATTTTAGGAAGAATCAAGATGCTGAATTTTCTTAAACACTTTTGTTGAGGACCAAGATCTGTTCCAAAGTGTTCATTTATTTGGGTTAATTTATTGCGGGGCCCATACATGATTTTCTGTCAAGTTTAATAATTCAAGGATGTTGAGCTTTGCTATCACAATATAAGTAAATACATAAAATGCAAAATTTGCTATTTTTCTTTTCTACTCATCTTCGACGTTCTTTATTTTGCAACAGTTATTCACCAAAGAGTTCTCAATCTCTTAATCTCGCTCACATGGAAATACATCCAATACCAAATCATTGTTTTCGACCAAGAATAATTTTCAATCTTATGATCTGCAATAAAACATGGTCACCACCGATTCCTTCAATGCAGCAAAATTTTCATCCCAAATCAGTTTCTTTCCATGCGCATGGAAGCGGGGAGGCTCAGGTACTCGCGCAGATGGCTGTGGGCTCGATCGAGCATTCGCAAAAATAGCATGGAAATGAAGCCGATGTGCCACGAGCACGTCGAGAAATTCAGCATGGAGCCACACGAAGAAAATTTGCTATCCAGCGATCTCAGCAGTGACAGAGTAGCAGCCGACCGAAAGTCAACGCCATGGAAGAAGGAACTTTGGTTCTGTGGAGCATCCCGAGAAAGCACTCAAATGTAAAAAGCATAAGACGATAGAGCGCAAGTCATCGGCATTGTGAATGCAGCCCGGGCGATGTGGTATTTCTGTTCGTAGGCCGGATCGATCGCTGCTCGGAAAATATAGGCACTGTGCCTCGACGTCGGTAGATCGACAGCCCACGAGATCGACGAACACTCGAGGATTTGTGCTCGAATCGGCGGTTGCTGCTACTGCTGGGAGGTAGCCGAGCTTCTATCCACGATGGAACCTCCACCCGAGGCCGACCCGATGGCAGAACAAAAGAAGAAATTTGAGGTCATGGCGATCTGCAACCGATTATGAGCCACCGTGATCTCAATTCTTTGTTTTGAGAAGAATTCCTGCTGCTGCTGCTCGAGGTTGAAACGTGATCTGTTGTCCATGTCTACAGAGATTGGGCGACCACGTGTACGAGCTCCAGCACGAGGAGGACCCGGAGGCCGTGATCGTGTTCTTCCACGGCCTTTTGATTCAGGAGACGGACACGGGCCACGCTTTCTGGAGCACGTGGACGAAGCGAAATACTCTCGAATGCTGGCCCGTGACGATGCTTCCGAAATTTTTGGAAAGCAGGGCAAAGAGAGAGAAGGGCGAGGAGAGTCCTCCTCGCCCATTCAGAATTCGTGTGCTCGCGGTCTCGTACGAGGGCAGGATGAGCGTGCATCCAGACATCGGGACGGCCGGGACCGACAAGTACCTTCTCGCCGAGAGTTTAATCAGTGAGCTCATTCTGAGCCCTCAGGACTTGATTCGAGGATCAAAGGCGGTGGAGGACAACGACGTCCCCGTCTTTCTGGTCGGCCACGACCTCGGAGGGCTCATAATTAAGAATTTCGTCATGGAAGTGGAGAGGACAATTCCCAAAAAGAACGAAGACGCCGATGGAGAAAAACTGCAGAATTTTCTCAGCAATCTGAAAGCTGTGTTCTTCTACGCCACACCTCACAGTGGATCGCAAGCCATCGAGGACTTGGCCAAGCAAATCCCCGAAGACTCACGCAATCAGATGCTCACTCTGATGAGCGTTCTCGGTACTGATATGGCCAGAATCAACTCAGTATTCAGCACTTATCGGTCCGGCATTGGCGACAATCTGAACCATCCACGATTCGAAAATTACGGCATCGTTCCGACGAGTTTAACCAACCAGGTATGGCTGTCACACCTTCCAGTTCCAGAAATCGACGGATCCGTGGATGACAGCTCCAGCGAGAACGTCGAGATTGGAAGCTTGTGTCAGAGACTGCCCCAACCCTGCACTTAGAAATATGGACAATGCTTAGATTTATTCTAATCAGAGTTGCTCTTCATCGCCGCAGTCATCGATTCGAGTAGAGAAACGAAGTATCATGTGCGTGAAGTTTTGACTTTTGCGTTGTCCCGTGCAGAGGGGTTTCGTCAGGACGATGGTCGTCCTGGAAGCATCTGCTAGATGTGATATGGACATATTTTTCTCGGTTGAAGCTGATCACTTTCAGGTTTGCCAGCCTCAAGCCACTTGGTCCGGTTCCATAACGCACCTCGGTGACAAAGTTTACCACGAGGTGTCGAAAATCAGAAAATTAGAATATTAAAACTATTAAAATATTGCTGCTGCTGGACGTCCATTAAGACTCCAGCAGTATTGAATGCTGTGATTGTCGTTAATCGATGCAAAAATTTCACTGACAGGTTTAGTGTATTAGATTCGGGATAAAGTGACTTGCATGGTAGTCGGATGGAATTACTGCAACAGTCGAAGTGAACCCTCCGGCCGTGATCGAGAGACGTAACATGTTGAAAAGGGCTTCGACATGCTTCGACATTGTATAGAGCTTTGAAGTGTTAATTAGGTTCGATGCGAAATTCACTTCGCCTTCTGCTCTGGAACTATTAGGATTAACTTTACAGCTTCCTGTCTTTGTGAAAGCTCTAAACTAGAATCGTGCTCGACTTTTGTACATGTCATCTACATAAAAATCCTTGTCGTATCAAGCTTCTTTGCAGAGTTTTATGCTTATTTATTGCTTCGTATCTATTGCCTGCCAGTTCCATTGTGGCGAGGGAGGGCTTCCGATCCCTCGATGAAGAAGGAGACCATCAAGAAAATGTGCAGTTGATGTCAAGTTCTTGTCCACTAAGCAGTGCCCATTGAATTGATTTGCCTTCACACTATATACATATGTCAATGGTCAATTTTATATATATCACGAATAGACACAATCTAACCACTGCCTTAACTCAATCTCGTCTTTGTAGCAAGTCGTTGAGCAAGATGTCTTTGGAATAACGTTCTCATCTGAATACATCTTGATGCAATACCAACTAACTACTTCTTGTTGTGTTTTAGTGCCTAGTAGGATCACGAGTTTTGATTTCAAAACTAGATTTCAAAACCTTAGATGTCGGCTCCGTCGTAAACCCCAAGGTATGATGCTAGACTCGAGACAAGGATGTTTACCTCTCGATGTAAGTGTAGAGATATTTGTCTATCATAGCTTTCAATAACAACCACTGCTAGTAAGTCACAAGAACACATGCAGTTCGATTGAACTATGTCTTTAGGATCTTGATCTTACTCCACTACAAGTGGAACCTAGGAGAAATGAGCTTGCGAAAGTGAAAGGGTCTCAACACTTTGGATTTGTTCCTTATTTACATGATGCGAAAGCAATCGTTATTTAGAAGAGGAGAGTTTCGTTCACCTAGCAATCCGAGAAGCTAAGGGTGTTGGTGTGAAATATATAAGGACTTTCAATAAAAAAGTATGTGATCGCTTCTCCGATTTGAAAGATGACTGGCGTCATCAATATTGTGGAGATTGGGGAACATGAAAACAAGTATATTGCTGAGTTAGAAGGAGTTACTTTGGTATGATTGACATGAAACCAGAGAAGATAACATGCGGAAGGTGTCAATGAGTTATTGCTATTTTCATCATGTCCCATCTTTTACCTCTGATACATCTAGAAGTTGAAGATGCCAATGTAGAGTATCATTAGCTACGTGTTGGTATGATTGGAGTATCTTATTGCTATTTGAGAATTTTTTATTTTGCACCATTATCTTTGGTCACTACACGACACGCTTTTGCAACCGAAGTGAACCATTTCATTGGCTTATTGGAGACGTTCTTAGATTTCAAAATAAAGGGGATTCTTTTTAGCTGGAGATTTCAATGCTCATATAAGTTGTGCTCAATTTATTCAATCTAGTGATTCCTTAGTTTCTTCTATGTTTGAAGAAATTTACGATAGTTTATGGTCTAGAACCTATTTTGATACTTCCACAATTTCTTTGATAAAGCACTTTTTGACATTTGAAGCCACTTGTAACTTGAAATTTCTTGATGGAATCTCTCGCTTCCCCAACTTTCAGTCCAATACTTGTTTTTCCTCTACAAGCGCTAGCACAACAGACTTTGTTTTGTCTTCTTTGGTTAGTATCTCTCTTATCTCTAATTTTGATGTTCTTGATACTAAAACTAAATGAGATTATGGACCTTTTTTGTTTACACTTTCAATGTTAAAATCAATCTCTCCCTCACCTTGCCAATCTCTTTTAGCTTTTTCCAAGTTTAGCTTAGATTCTTGTAAAAGAGACCTTTATACTGAACATTTACAAGATATTTTGACTCGCATCATATGGAGTATAGATTCACATACGGCTAGTTTATAACTCATAGAATTGCTCAAAAATTCTACATCAAAGTTCTATTTCAATCATATTTATAGGATTGCTAGAGAGCTACCTTGTAATGGATGGTCTGACTCCGAATGTAAACTAGCAAGTGCAAGATCTATTGATAGATTTTTGGAATTCAAAGTCGGCTTCTTTTGACAAAGATATACAAAGATTTGGTGAAGTCTAAGAAGCAAGCTTACTTAAGGCGGAAGCAAGAATCCTTGACAAAGGACCTGATGAAGTATCACAAGTACTTTTGGAGACAATTAGCTACACCATCGTTAAAACTTTCTCTTGATTCCAAATCTTTGATAACTTTTGCCAAAAAGCTTTATTTCTTTCCAAAAGCTACATTTATGTCATATTGCAAAGCAACACTTGGATTTTATTTAGAAGAAGAGATGATGATTTTACTCCAAAATCAGCAAATGACAAATGTGAGGGTTTAAATAGTTTGTTCATTGAACTTATCAGGTGGAGAGGAGATTGTATTAGACCTATTTTTACTAAAGTTTTTAAAGATGCTTCGGTTCATGGTATCCATCAACTTGATCCATGAGGAAGATTGTAACTATTCATAAATCAGGAAAGAAAGACGTAATGACAAACTATCGCACTATCATGGTTGGTAGTGTTTTTGCCAAGTTGGTAGAATCAAAGTTGAGCACATAGACAGAGGATTTTCAAAAGAGCGCAAAGGTCCAAGTTGGTTTTTGCCCTACATACAAAACTATTGATTATATTTTGGCCTTACGTGTTTTACTGAAGAAATCCAAGGGCAATGGTAAAGCTTTATTCTGTGCTTTCATTGATTTGATAACAACTTTTGATACTGTTACTCATAAGCTTTTATGGGAAAGATTACAAGACATTCGAGTTAATTTTCTTGAAGTTGTGACCACCTTATATAGTTCAGTTTGGACTAAGATCGATGGCTCTCAACCTCAAGAGATCTCGAGCATCATTGGAGTTATTCAAGGTTGTACTCTCTCTCCTACTCTATTCAGAATTTTCATATATTATATAGAAAGTTGGATGAATGATTGTGAGAGTGATGGAGTCAAACTTGGAGACTTTTTCATCAAAGTTTTTTTGTATACAGATGTTATTATATTACTATCACGAGATGCAATAAATATACAAAAGCAGCTTGATATTTTGGCTAGCTTTTGTACTCAAAAATCATATGGAGTTCAATTTGGAAAAATCATTCTTGTGAGCACTAGATCCAAGTTTTTTTTGTTTTATAAAGAACTAGAATAAAACAAGAGAAGAGTTACACATATTTAGGCATACCTTTTTCTCACAATTATAGTTTGGCACTTTGTGTGCAAAAGAGAGTAGAAGCTAGTTAAAAAGCTCTAAATTTATTGTTCATCTTATGTAGAAGAGCTCATCTAGTGTCTTGGAGTCTTAGAAGATTTTAATTTAGGAGCTTAGTGTTGCCGGTGATTTTATATGATACACAAGTATGGGTTACTAGTTGTAAGAAGTCAGGTTGGAAGCATGTGGAGTGGAGAGGATGCAAAAGATATTCTTACAAGAAGAATGAATTGTTATGAAATGAACTTCTTATGCTATTTTTCTTGCGGAAACAGGTTGTCTACATCTTGAGACTGAAGCTATCTACTTGACTATCATTTTTATCGGAAGGGTGAGATCTCTTGAATGATTCTCAACATGAAGAGTACTTCATGCTTTGCGTGCCACATGTTCCAAGGTATGGTTTGCAGATGTGATGACTTGATCTTTGAGGTGGAATGTGACGGAACTTGATTGGGATTTGCAACTTATGGCACTTCGCGAGCGTATTAAGTAGTAATTTCTCAACATCATTTTGAGTAGACGAGGCACCAAAATGCAATTTTATCAACTTCATGTGAATCCTATGTTTATTTATTGTGAGCAAGGATACCTTGTTACAACAATTTTTACATCTTTACGTCATATTATTGCCATGCATAGAACAGGATCTCACAGGCTTGGAATTAAGTAAGTACATTGGTTGAATATTGATCTGAGTGAAAGGGTTTGTAGGCTATGTGATGAGAAAAATGTTGAGTATAAAGAGCATGTGTTTTCTACTTGTACTAGATAAATAGATATTATAATGGCTCATAAAGTTTTTGTTGAGAATTTCTATTCTTACTTCACTTGAGCCTTATAATCTAGGTTGTTACATAAGGCGTGTGTATTATTTACTGTTCTAGTGCTCTTGTCACTAGCTAGAGTGTTCTTTTGGTTCTCTACTAAATTGTAGTTGGATTGTTTGTATTGTGTTTTTTTAAACTTTTGGGTCTCAACGGCTTGATCTACTTACCATTACCATTTAGTTCATATTGCACTTTGTTTCACGTGTTGTGATTCTATGTACTATAACAAGCAACCACAACAAATAGTCGTGATCATGGTCAAGGAAGATTTGTGAAAGTTCAAACAGAAAATGCTTGGTTTAGTCCATGTTCACCTGGCCAAATCTACTTTGCTACATGCACATTTCATAGAACCATCGCATAAAACTTTCAGTACATCAATTTTTACTCAAATTTAGTTCATTTCTTCTAGATTTACATCTCAATAAGATTTAAGCCTCTCAAACATCTAAAAAAAATGTCTTCAACGAGATAGAGGTTTTGAATTCAACTCTCTAACTTTGAATCATGTGATTTATATATATATATTACATTAACATCGTAAATGTATGTGGAAAAGTTTCGTTAACACGTTCTCCCACACTTTATAAAGATGCGCATTTATCGATCTTCTAGAGGCCCATTGTGGATTGCTTGTTCTGGCCGCCTTGACCTTGATGGTCATGAAGGTCAAAGGCCCTTCTTCTTGGCTGTACGAGCTGTACGCGTTGTACACTTGGGCTACAGTATCCACTTGGTCCCAGACCCCGTCGTACTCGGGCCCCGACGAGGCCTTTGGCATCGTCCCCGCGGATGAAATGAAATGTCATCGAAGGTGCTGAGCGAAGCAAGGAATCTGAACAGTGAATGGTGTGGTGGAGTAGTGGCGGCCAAGTGAAGTGTGGAGTGTTGACTTCATCGTTCAGGGGAGGGGCTGGTCTATTGCCCGGCACTTTCTGAATTGGCATCTCTCTTTTCCCTTCATGCAACTGTCACTCTTGCCATTCATTCTCGACCGCGACCGTCAGCTTATAATGTAGAAAACCACGAGGGGAATTGCGAGCTGAGAATCCTGCCTGTAAACTGCCCCACGATTCGAAGAATACTCTTACAGTCCTCGGACCGTGTAGAAGTCGTCAAAAGTTAGAACCGTCGTTGAGTTTCTTCAGGCGTCGTAGGGAAGTAAACGAAGATCGATTTGTGAGTTGGTGGGATTGGAAGAACGTCCGTCGGGTGCAATGAAATTACGCGTCAACTCTGGAAGAATACATCTCTGGCTTCACATATAGAACACATTCCTCCCTCACCCTCGGAGCCGGCCTCAGTCTATCCTTTTCTGCTATGTGCACGAGGCTCGGAGTCGGCCTTGAGATTGCTTGATGGGACCTTCTTCTTCGTCTCTTCCAACATCGACTTCCGACAGCAAGTTTGAGGTAGAGCTGGTCTCGTCAAAACTTGCAGATCGTCCTTTTTTCCATCGAGAAATTCTTGATCTGTGTGAGTCTCAGAACTGGAGAATTCTTCGTGTCTTTCACTGACTTGGCATTATTCTGCTCCCTTGCGCAGGATAAGAAACTAAATGATCATGTGTACGAAATTAGAGCTCCGCAGTCTCCCGATGCGGAGATAGTATTCTTCCACGGTCTTCCGATAGATTTGTCGGATGCAACAAATGCTTTTTGGAAAACGTGGACGCAGAGGGTCAGAAAAAACTCAAAGGAAAAGGGTGAGTTGGGTGAGTGGTCACCCTCTGACAACTTCTGGCCGGATACAATGCTTCCGGCATATGTAAACGAAGGAAACACGGGTAAGCCTATCAACCTTCGCGTGCTCGCCGTGACGTATGACAGCAGGCCAAAATTACCGTCGGACATCGGAGTTGCAGGGGCTGATGATTATATTCTGTCGGAAAATCTCGTCAGTGATTTGATTTTGAATCCCAGAGTTCGTGTAGCTGGTGTGGGTCAACAATCCGATGTTCCGGTGTTTTTGGTCGGCCACGATCTGGGGGGGATCATGATAAAGCATTTGATACTTTGCGTGGAACGAAAGTGTAGTGTAGATGCGGGCGATGCGAAAGAGAAACTCACCAAGTTCCTCACGAATCTGACGTCAGTGTTTTTCTACTCCACACCCCACCATGGGTCAGCCCCCATCGAAAGACTGATGAACGAGATACCGCCTGACAACAAGAGTCCTCTCCTTACATTCATGAAAGTGCTGGGTAAGGAAATGGCCAGGGTGAATCAAAGGTTTCTCCAGTACCGAGGAGGAAAAGAGAGTAATGGCGGACGAAGGTTCGGGACGTTTGCCTTAAATGCAGCTTGTCCCACCACACAGGTGCGTTCGGGCTTATGCTGCGAGACACCATTCTGTCTGTGATCATGCACTCTGCCTCTAGACTGACCACCGCCTTCGTTTTAACGCCTCGATGAGAATTCTCGGTGATTCATGGGATTTGCGCTCTTAATGATGATCCGTATGCATTCTTTGCTGCCCGATCTTTTCGCTCTCGTTTTGTCTGAAAGGTCGATGTATTCGTCAAAAGTCTGATTTTATATCATCGAGAAGAGGGCAATACAGTTTGTTTGCTTTTGCTGTACCTATAGCTGGTCGAGGGGAGTAGATTTGTCGATGTTTCGTGCATATTGTGGTTGTTAACTTCGTGAATCTATGCACCCACAGGGCATTTTCGTGGAGGAGCAAATCTGTCCAGAGGGAAGTGCAAGAATTGATATCGACATCTATTACACTGTTCCAGAAGCCAATCATTATCAAGTGTGCCAACCCAAGGCTATGCACAACAATAGCATAGGGATGCTTGGTTCGAACATCGCCGAGGTCGTGGATAAAATCAGGGAAAGAGCTGCAGCCAAAGATCTAAACATCAGCCAAAGATATGAAAGTTTGAAATTATTTTTAGAGGGAAACAATCAAAACAGGCCCCGAATAGAACCTGGAGCTCGAGGATAGCTGTTGGTGTAAGCATAGCATAGTCTACGGGGGCAGGGAACAATTTTCTCAGCTTCCATACATTGGTTCTCTGCAAGAGATCTTGAAGAGAGATGAATATAGGAGAGCATCAAGAAGGGAATAAGAACCTTCTGTCGGTCGTTGGATGGTAGGAAAGTGTACAAATTTGCATTGTTGGGAAGAAATTGAAATACAGATGTAACGAATTCGAAGATCTATCTACAGCTCGCTCCAGATTCCGTTTGCTTCATCACAATCTCTATACTCATCCGAATCTCCCCGCATCATTGTACTCAACGCGCTTACCAGATCCTGATATCCAATCTTGCAGTGGAAACATTCAATTGCATTCTCCATGTTTGCACATGTATTCGAACTTGAGTGTGGTTCGGTTCTACACCTACCTTGTTTCCATCTCGATACTATTAGAGAGCTAGACAATTTATACAAACGCCAGATTGACTTCTCTACTGCTGAACGACAAACTCTCGGACTTGAGTTTAAAAATCTGTTCCCCAATTCATCATCCTTTCAGACGTCTTCATTGATCTGGGCGATGATTCAACACGAGGAGCAAGAAAAGAAGAGAAAATTCAAGCTTCTGGTCAAGCCACTGCTCGGATATTATCTTCTGATTTGATATCCAACTCCATTCCCGGAATTCTTTCCTGGCCGAATCGAATTTGCATGCAACGAGGTCCCAAGCCATGTCATACGGACGCAAGCTCGCACAGATCTACAGAAGGAAGCCTGACCAGGTCAATGATCGATAGTTCAAAACCAAAGTCTACGACAAGTGGGAGATTACAATGTCAAGTTGCCGCTCCAGGGTCAACGATTGTACTCCTCGGATGCACGCAATGAGAGGAGACTCATATCCAAATATCTCCTCTGCACTGGTCGAGTCATAACTCCGCTCGCCTCATCTCACGAGACCAATGGACTAACATCGCATTGCATCAAAAGCAGGCGACGCGTTTGCGTCTGTATGTATGGTAGATTCGACTAGGACCTTGAGAGATGTGTCTTCTGGATTCGAACACCGACAGTTTGGCTCGCAACCGCCCGGTCCCCATGAGTCCGCTCACTACACTTTCCGGTGGCTTGCATAAGCACGTCGAGGTCTGTTCATACCATGGCCGGGAACATTTAATTATATGACAGAAATGCAAATCTCACATCCACTCGTTGTGTATGAGAGATTTTCATGATTGTGCATAATTTTGTAATGTGGTAAACTTGCTCCTGGCGAAGCTAGTTCTCACATTTTTGGATGATTTCACCCAAGACTTTAATATGTGGTGTGATATGCAATTTTTGCGTAACCCCAAGTTGTTCACGCACTTCTTTGCTTGGAAATGATTATTTCAACATCTGGAATGACCACCCATGGATGACTACCATGAATTTGGTAGAAACTTTGCGATAGAGATTGACGCATAGAGTCGTCATTGGTCCCCAAATTATCTGTCCATCACCTAGGGGGTGTTGGGACCAGTGGAGGTGTAAGTGGTGTTGTTACTAGTAGAGCTGCGAGTAGCAGCACTAGTGGAGGTACTTGGAGCTATACTAGTGCGAGTACCGGTGAAGCTGCTGGAGAAGGCACTAGGAGCGATCTGCAACCTCCGAGCTGACTCTCACTCAGGTTTACCTCAGATGGCGTTTTGGTAGCTCATCATGATTCTAGAAGACTATGATTCCGCATCATACTCATAAGCTAAACATCCTCTCACACAATCTCTCAAGGTATCACTCCAACTCATACACTCATCGACACTCCAAGGTACTGAAAATTCGTCACTCTTTCATATATGAAACAAGTCTCTACATATGAACTCTCCAAACTTGCTTGAGAGACTCTTCCCTACCTCTTTATATATACTACTTGAGAATTTACCATAGTAACAAATGGTAATTTCTATCTAACTTACTTTTACGAAAATAAACCATAGTAAGGTTGACTAGTTATCAATATGTGGCAACATGCCATTGGCCACCTAAACCTTCTAGATGTTTACTAATCCCTAGATTTCCAACTTCTAGAACTTACACTTTCCACTAAGTCAACATTAGACTTAGTCTAACCAATGGAATACTCCTTACTTTAGTTAAACCAATCAAAACTAAACATGAAGTTCAAAAGTCTTTTCTCTTGGAATCTAGACTTTTGTACAAGACAAAATAGAAGTGCTCAATCAAATCTTCTAGAACTTCTCTAGTTATTCCGCCAAGTATAGACATTATAGCTAAACTAGCTAGACTTAGTCATAACTAGCTAGATTTAGTCATAACTATCCTAACCATGATTAACTCCTTGGCTAATTCTAGTTTTATTTCACATATGCAATATCTGGTTTTACATTTACCCCCGGACCAAGATTTCACTACGCCCTCGAAGTGAAAGAATCTGATTTTCGATGGAATAATTTCAACTTGTCGTGGTTGACTCGATCGAAGTGACGTCCTCCTAACTCCTTGATATCATAAGTAAAGTTTCCCCACACCTTCTCAACTATGAAAGGTCCAAATACTTAGGAATAAACTTTTTCCTAGCTCTCTTGTATCTAATTGCATCAAAGAGCATCACCCAATCACCTTCCTTGAATGGCTTCAAGTTATGGTTTCCACTTCGTTTGTTGTGATACTTCTTCTGCAACTGTTGAGTCCGCTCCACTCGTACCATGGCTAGTGCTCGAGCTTCCTCCAACTCCATCAATTGTTGTTGGCGAGACTTGATGGCTTCTACTCCATTTGATTTCTTCAACCTTTGTTGGATTGTCATGAAAGTAGTCAAGTCAAATTGTATTAGGAGCTTTGACTCAACTCCATACACCATCCGAAAACGTGAATATCCGGTAGATGTTTTTCAAGTCGTTCGATACTCCCACAAGATAGCATGCAACCTCTTGTCTCAGTTTTGCTTGCTCCCGTCCATGTCTGCATCCTTGGCCAACATCATACAAAGAGTGTAGTTGGTCCGCTCCGCCAACCCATTAGCATTGGGTTTGTAGGAAGTGGTCACTAGAGACTTGATGGAAAAATGATCTAACATTGCTTGGATCATACTTCCCACAAACTCTCCTCCTCTATCCGACACTAACTCCAAAGGACAACCAAATCTTGATATGATTCTCTCATACAAAAACCTACCAACCTCCTTCTCATTAGTAGATTTTAGTGGCCTTGCCTCTACCCACTTGGTAAGATAATCTGTAGCTATCACAATGAACTTATTTCCCCGAGGAGTAAGATTCAAAGGACCTACAAAATCTATCCCCCATTTTTCAAAAGGATCTAACATTGGAACTGAAATCAAAGGAGGTGTTTTCATGGACTTTTTAGCAAAAGCTTGACACACATCACAACTCTTGCAAAATTCCACACAATCTTTGAAAATACCCTTCCAATGATATCCAGCATCAAGGATCTTGAAGGCTGTTACCTTCCTCGCAAAATGTCCTCCACACACGGCACCTTCGTGAAACTCCTTCATGAGTTGCAATGCTTCGCCTCTTCCAACAGCTCGTCGTAGCAGACCGTCAGCTCCTTGATGAAATAACACCTTCTCAATGATCATATAGGGTTGACATCTTTTTACCAATGCATTCCTTTCTCTTGAATGCATACCTTGAGGAAATTCTCCTTTGGAAATGAACTTCCAAATCTCCTTGTACTCCTCTGGTATCAATGTCACCGTGTCCATGACCAACAAATCTTCGTCCGGGAAAGTGTCATCCACAGATTGATCTCCTCCCTCATTATAAGCTCTTGACAACAAATCCGCATTAGCATGCTTCTTTCCCGGTCGATCTTCAATGGTATAATCAAATTCCGCTAGTATTAGTTTTCATCTAGCTATCCTCCCCTCAGCATTAGGCTTGTTGAAAATATATTTCAAGGCCTTATGATCAGTCACTATAGTGAATTTTCCACCCAAAAGATAGTGTCGAAACTTCTTAAGTGAAAAGATGACAGCTAAAGCCTCCCTTTCGGTCACTGAATAATTCTTCTCTGCTTGTACCATCTGTCTACTAGCATAGGCAATTGGATGATCATGTTTTTCATCATCAAATTGACTCAAGGTGCATCCTACATCAATATTTGATGCATCTGTATACAGAAGAAAAGGTTTACCCCAATCAGGTTTCGCCAAAATTGGAGCCGTCACCAACGCCTTCTTGAGTGCCTCAAACGCCAACTTCATCATTGAAGATGAGCTTGTATTTGGTCCCCTTCTTCATGTAACTCGTCAAGGCATGAGCTTTGTTGGAGAAGTACAAGATGAACTTCCGATAGTACCCCACCATACCAAGGAATTGTCTCAACTTGGTCAACATCACCGGAAAAGGTAACTCCATGATCCTCGTCACCTTCTCTGGATCCACAGCTATACCATTCTTGGAAATGATATGCCCCAACAATAAGCCTTCCTCACATCCAAAAATGCATTTTTCTGGATTGAGTGAAGCTTTGGCTTTCTCCAAACGTTGGAGTATTTTGATCAAATGATCAAAATGATCCTCCTTCTTCCCGTACACACAAAAGTCATCTATGAAATCTCTCACAAACTTTCCAATGAAAGGTTCAAACACCCTATTCATGAACCTTTGGAAAGTGGCTGGAGCATTACATAGACCAAATGGTATTACTCTAAAGGCAAAAGTTCCCCATGGTGTGGTAAAGGTAGTTTTCAATTGATCCTCTGAAACAATTTGGATTTGGTTATAGCCACTATAACCATCTCCAAAACTATACCACTCATGGCTTGCTACCTCCTCTAAAATCTCATCTATAAAAGGTAAAGGATAGTAGTCTTTCTTTGTGACAGCATTCAACTTCTTGTAATCTACACATACACGTATTTTACCATTATTTTTCTTCACTATCACAATAGGAGACACCCATTCCGAATTTTCTACCTCATAGATGAAGCCAGCCTCCCTCAGCTTGTCAATCTCCTCTTTTACCACCACAGCTGTAGGAGGATTGATTCGTCGTTGCTTCTGCCCAATAGGGCGAGCTTTCTCCTCCAACTCAATGTGATGAGTTTCAAGTGTCACATGCTTCAAATCTTTGTAACTAAAGGCAAAGACATGGATATATTTGCGAAAGATATCCAAAAATCTTGCCTTCTCCTCCATGGTAACATTTGTACCAAACTTGAGGGTGAAAAGTCTTCGACACACCTCCTCCTCGGTCATCTCCACTTTATCCGGATCTTTCTTCACC